ACAGTATCTAAAATCTCCCTAGGAGGCTGTCTACCATTGCACCAAGTTTGGAATGATCTGCAGCTGTATAAAGAAGAAAGACTTCAAATATATATGGAAATGACAACCCACCACTAGGAAACTACCCTCATAACTGCTGATGTGATTCCTCATGTAGGAAAAAGGCTGACCCTAGGATACATAGTATAAATACTGAAAGTGTCATAAAATAATAAACATAAGTGATGATTATCATTCCTATTTATATAGAAAAATGCATAATCATCTGCTAGTTGAGTGTCATTCTTGTCACATCAAACCACCTTGACTCCATCTAAATCTGCTTCACTAATTCCATTTTGTTTGGACCATAGTTATAGAGTTCCTCACATTCCAAGTTCCAAATCTCAGGTAAATAAGTAAGATTTGAGGTTTTCATGGTGGTGGGATGTGACGCTGTGTAGATCTTGTGTGAACCAAGGTCACATAAGATCTACATAGCGCCACATCCCAGAAGATGACATTCTCAGATAAATAAGTTTTCCATTATTTAGACCATTCCAAAGAATCCATCCAGGGGCTGCCCCACCCACCTCCCAAGCTGGAGGACCACCTTTGCTGGCTGACTACAGCTTCTTAATCAGAATTATTTGCAGCTACCCTTCATGTCTGCAGGACATCCCTGCATCTGCAACTTCAGGACACACAATGCCATGGTAACTAGGACCTACTTAACATGGCTATTTCTTAAAAATCTGTTTTAATATATCCTTGCATTTATGCCTAAGTGCCCAAAGTGTTTTTATGACTAATTTTATGTACACTTCCTTCCCCTCCTCCTTCCATGGACGCCACATGCTTCAACCATCTCATCCTCTGTTATCATCCAGTTACTTTCTCCATCTTAGATCCAGTGTTCTCCAAAGCAGCTTGTTATCAAATGCTCTCAATCTGTGTTGTTGTTGTAGGGTGAGACAGCAAGTCTCACAGTCTTAAAAACAGCAGGTAAAGTATATAGAATTTGAGTTTTTCACAGCAGTGGTTACAGACACTACTATCTTCTGGGATATAATGCTATGTAGTCCATTGAAAGGCAACCAACATTTTAGAGGATCATATCACCTCCATCTTCAGAGTCAGATAAGCCAAGCAAGATACCAGCATGAAAGCAGGTGGCAAGCTGTGTAATTGGCTGGCCGGAAATTTCGGATTATGTAGGAAGTATGGAGGGAACGAAAGTGTGAACCTCAGTTCCATTGGGATAGAATGAAACCATTGGGCTCTCACACGAACACTGAGCTAACCAATAGGCATCAAGAACAGGAGGGCCTTAAGAACTCCTGTTCATGTCTCCTGTTGGCTCTATCATGTGAGAGCCCAAAAGTTTCATTCTGTCCCATGGCAAGCCAATGGGAACTGAGGGCCACTCTTCCATTTCCATCCTGCATCCTATATAATCCGAAATTTCCGGCCAGCCAATTACACGGCTTGCTACCTGCATTCATGCTGGTATCTTGCTCGGCGTATTTTACTCTGAAGATGTAGGAGATATGTTCCCCCAAAAACTTGGTTGACCTTGAATGGGCTACATGGCATTATATCCCAGAAGATCGTACTCTTGGGGGAAACTATAGTTTTATGTATTTTAATCTGTACATTTTTAGACATAAATTTCATAACAAGTGGTAACAAGCATTCCCTGAATTTAATCTATTCTCAATTTCCCTGTGAACATAATTCTGATTTTTTACAATACAGCCATTCCCAAATATTTAACTTCCTCAGTTTTGAAAGATTTATTACCTATTTCTACATTATGACGTAACTGGTAATATATATCACTTATTTGAAACACAGTGCAGGTGTCGTTTATGATCTGTTTACCATGCACCTATCTCTTGGAAACAGGTGCTGATTTCCCATGCTATAAAGAAACACTAATCTGTCATCTCATGCCCAGAAGACACTTCACTATGCCATTGTTTTAAATTCTCTTGAAGTATAGCGTTTCTTTTACAGTAAACAATACTGAAAAGAAAATGTGACTCCAGTGGAGTATACATACTTTTTAAATATGTTCTTTGTGATGTTGAATACCTAACTGGTCTTCCATTTATTTCAGCTAGAACCCCATTGTTGCAGAGTAAGTTACTGTATAGATATCACACCACACAGAGTCAAATTTTTTTTTTCATATTTCATTATTTAATTGTTATGTACATATGCTATGCGTGGTGAGTTTTTTTAGAAAATTGGAAGTTCAGTTTGAGCTTAATGTATATGTAGGACCAGTACAAGCCAAAATTAAACTCATGAGACTTTAGGGTTTTAAGGCAGTGACTAAAGATTTCTGTCTTTGTGGCTGTAACTGTAGAGTCTTGTAGATCATTACTGGTGCTGGTAATGAACGATCAGACTGCATGGCATCACATACCAGGAAATGGTACACACCTAACAGCAAACTTCTTTCATCAAAATCCATTCAGTATTTCAAAAATAAAATATGTACAGGCCGATGTGACCTATGTTGTTATTCAAGGTAATGAATGCATAACATGATTTTATGCATGTCTGTAGTTGGAATATTTCAGTTCTTCAACTTTTCATGGCCCTTTACTTTTATGAAGTGCTACAAGATGGCAGTTATTGTGAACATGGTTGTACAAGAAGGAAGGTTTTGTGCTGAAGAACATGTTTAAATTTCAACTGAGTAAAATATTTTTGATGTTGGTGTGTCACAATAAACAGGACTATTATTTTGGACATTTTACAAGTATTTCAAACCCAGTACTTCAGAATCAAGATCTGTTTCTGTCATCAGGTGTTTGGGAGGAATGTGCCCTGCTTACCTGTGTCTGTTAAAAGGAGCTAGTCTTTGTCCATGGATTGTTCATCATAGGATGATTCAAAGACCTCACTTGACAGATGTGTGGTAGAGGTGTACAGGATATCTATGCAAAACAAATGAATTCACCTTTGTCATGTCTTAGTCAGCCAGGCTTGATTCTACTTGGCTGGATTTGATTCAGTTAGTATGCTTACAGACTCGTGCAGTACCAGGAAATTTCCTGGAATACTGTGTGAGTCTCACAGCACAAACAGAATGCAACTACTCAAACTGCTGATGAAATTATTGGCAACAGGAATATTAAAATGATGAATTCTATGTGCTGGTAAGTAATTTTGTATAACTACCTATTGCAAGTAGGTGATAGCATAGTCATTATATCGACTGGCTACAGCCTGGACGATGAAGGGTCAGAGTTGGAGTCCCGGTAGGGTCAAGAAGTTTTGCCGCGTCCAGACCACCTCGGGCCTACTCAGTTTCTTATCCGATGGGTACCGGGGCATGAAACTGACTGCTCACTTTCAACTAGTGCCTAGGTCAAGAAAATGTGGATCTATACATCCACTCTATACAGTTTCCTGGCGTAATGCTTAATTAGTTAAGCACAAGGACAGCTTTACATTTTTCAGGCAATGAGGTAGCATAACCAGTGTTGTAGTGAAAACTGTGTATAAATGAAAACAAAAAGTTCATGAGCTGTATGTAATATTCTTAAAACTGCGAACTGATTGTAATCTAGTGATAAAGTTTGGCACAGATGTAAATGAAAGCACCACTTAAATCAAATATTTTTAAAAGACCACTCTAATCAATTTCTTCGAAGTCAGGGTCATGTAACTATGCATTTTAATGTCCACTCACTCATGGAGCTGAGCCCTTGAGGAGAAGCCAAATCTGCAGCTACTCAAGAATTTTCCAGCATTTTATGGAACCCAGAGGTTCATTTCAGTGTTCACAAGAGCCCTCTACTGGTCCCTATCCTGAGCCAGATCAATCCATACCATCTCACCCTATCTCTCTAAGATCCATTTTAATATTGTTCACCCACCTATGCCTTGGTCTACCCAGTGGTCTCTTTCCTTCTGGCTTTCCCACCAATATCCTATATGCATTCCTTTTCACCCCCATTCGTGCTACATGCCCTGCCCACCTCATCTTCCTTGACATGATCATTCTAATTATACTTAGAGAAGAGTACCAGTTATGAAGCTCCTAATTATGCAGTTTTCTCCAACCTCCTGTCACTTCATCTCTCTTCGGTCCAAATATTCTCCTCAAACACCCTCAGTCTATGTTCCTCCCTTAATGTCAGAGACCAAGTTTCACACCCATACAGAACCATAGGCAAAATTATAGTTTTGTATATTCTAATTTTTATGTTTTTGGACAGCAGACGAGAAGACAAAAGGTTCTGGACTGAATGGTAGCAAGTATTACCCGAGTTCACCCTCCTCTTAATTTCCTCCTGAATCAGGTTTTGATTTGTTATCTTCATTCCCAAATATCTGAATTGTGCCATATTTTCAAAACATCTGTTTTCTGTCATATCATGATTTTGCCCTGCATTTTGGTGTTGAAACAGCAACATATACTTAGTTTTCTGCCTTTACTTCTAGACCAACCTCCTTACCTGCATCAATGAAAGTTTGTGTGTTTTTCTTTTGGTATCTTTATTATCACCCAGTAGATTCACATCATCGGCATAGACCAACAGCTGATGTGTCCCGTTTAATTTCCGTCCAACCTGGCTTTCCTGGACCTTCCTAATGGCATATTCTAAAGCAAAGTTGAAGAGGAGAGGCAATAAAGCATCTCCTTGTCTTAGACCATTCTGAAGTAGGAAATTTATCAGACAAATGTTTACCTATACAGACTTTACTATAAGTGTCGTTTAAACACATTTTAATCAGATTAACTAGCTTCATGGGTATCCCAAACTCTATCAGAATATTGTACAATACTTCCCATCTAATTGAATCATAGGCTTTCTTAAATTCTACAAAGAGCTGATGTACTGTCTCATTGTATTGTACTTTCATTTTTTTCTCCAATATCTGACGAATGCAAAAGATCTGATCTGTAGTTGATCTGTTATGTTGAAACCCACACTGATGATCCCCAATAATTTGGATCCATGGATGGACTTAACCTTGAGAGAAGAATATTGGATAAAATTTTGTATGATTTTAATGCCCACTTACATTTTTAAATTCCATCTTATCCTGTATGCCTTTAACAGGCCTGAGCTTCAAAATGCATGTTGGAGATTACTCTGTGAATGAAATGTACATAATTTTTCAACCTTTTTTAATTACTGTAAGAGAAACGACCAGTCCAAAATGTGTTCACTCATTTCTGTTAAAGTAAAGGATTACACAAACGTAATAAATTGCATTCTGATTGAAGAGCATGATTGGGGTTGTGTTGCCACATAGTTAAAACCCAGAAAATCATACTCGTAGTCACTAATGTGAGAACATCAAATCCGTTATATTTTAACTGGTTGATTTAATTCACGTTTACGGCCGATTATCAATTAGTTATTCTCCATTTCTCTTTCAGTAAAGAACGTATTTTTGTTTTATGTGTATACTGTGTTTGGCATGATACATCGTGGTTAGCACACAGTATTCTGGAGAACGCATGTTCAGATCTCACCAGGGAAATATCCCGATTCCAAATTCGGTGTTTGACTGCCGTTGTTATTCCCTTCATGGAAATAATGTGATATACTTATAGACGAGTGCTTATTCATCATTATCAAACCTCTGTTCACAGTCATCTGCCATTCCTTGTTGTATAGCGTATTCGGTCGTTTGTCAGCGTGTGACATGAACAGTAAATTCGCTAAATGGCAGACGATACCTATTTCATCTGCGCGATAAATATATACCTCCTCGCGACGTGTACATGTCGGAGATTATTGCGAATAAGTTCATTAACTGGAACGTATGTTTCTACCCTTTTTATGGACTGTATATCGTCCTTTAATATTTTTTTTATCTCTGATAATATTCGGCTGTAGCAGACTTACAGTATTTACAACTTCCAGTTCAGTAAATTAGAACAAAAGTGTCAGTATACGAGTAGGAAATAGACTATGTTCGGAGATTCGAAATCTACATGAACATGATCAGGTATAAAATGAAAATGGGCATTAACGTCCATATAAGCGTATCCGTAGACTGATTGTCAGGTTGCAATGTGGAATGAAAGAATTAGGCTTAAGAAAAATATAGGCTTTGGCTCGCAGGGGGGGGGTTACCTAAGCATTCAATACAAATAAAGGTCAGAATTCAATGCAGTGGTTTGTGAAAGTCTGATGCGTTCCAGTACTTCCAGGGCAACATAGGCAACAGGCTTTTCCAGATGAACCGTATTCTCTTCTCTTCCGTGCTCGAACTCTTCGGTCTTGCAGATATCTCCCTTACAGAATTTCTAAAATAGAGTGCTTTTCATGATCCCATCTGAACAAAATTCTTCTAATATGCAATATTAACATTTTAAAAGGTCCACGAGGTCAACGGTGGAGATATACATCTATTCCCCCCATGTATGCCTTCATGGCATAATGATTAACAAATTGAGCAAAGGGGCAGGTTTAACTATATCTCCACAGGAGGAAAAATTATGATACTCCTGTTTCAACATCGAAAGTGTACTATGAAAAGTACGATGTTCTGGGATGTTATGCCTTGTAGTCTAGTAAAACTCTACCATCGTTTTAGAGGAACGTACCTACTGTCTCCATCTTCTGGTCGAAGAACCTGCTTGCTGCTTGTTTGGCGTACTCTTCTACCCTGAAGTAAGGGGCAGTATGTCCCTCCAAAGAGATGGGGCAAATCTACCAGACTACACAGCCTAACATCCCAGAATATAGTATCCTTAAAAGAATTTCATATTATCTGACATCTTCTTTGTTGCGGGAGACACCGATTACGCGAACAACCAATGCAGCTGGCACGCCTACAAACAGCCGAAAGATAAAACAGTTTCTGGACTGCGGTACATCAAACGATTGATGAGAGTGGAAGGGGTGTGAATTATCATCTGCAGTGTAGTGTGATGGATCTGTATCAGTCTTTCTACCAGCATGTTCAGGTTCGCCATGGATGTCAACTGTTCCTTCCTTACGGGCATTTGGCAAAAATATGGAGGTCGTGTGAGGAAGTTCGTCCGCTTCTCTGTGCTCCTGACATGCACCATTGTTGTCATTGTACAGGTGAGATGGGCAGTATATTGATGGCGAACATATATTACGTATTCACTGCAAAAATTGCGTGGTCGTGTCTGTCCGTATATTTCATTTCCAAATCTGCTGAAAGAATTTTGATAAAATTTGATATTGTGGTCTGCTCAGAAAGATGTATGTCGGATATACAAAGGAATTTTACGTTAAACTCATTTCGAAGCGTTCTGAAGGAACGGCTCATCACATAGAGATAATAACAAAATATGTACGACATTTGAGGTTCTCACGGTGGTGCTATGAAGATTAAGTCTTGTGGGATGTGACATCGTATAGTCTGATTGATCGTTACCGATGTTTCGGAGGAAGATACTGTCTCCATTCTGAAGATGATGACAGTAGGAACGACCGGCTCAAGCCTAAATGCCGTCCAAAACACGAGAACCCCGATTCCCCCGCAGTTAAAAACAGACCAACTTCTTCAAAACTTTGTCATTATTACACGAAATTTCCAGACATTTTGACGAAAACCGCCATTGGTACCATATTTCTTAAGACGATTTTATTTATATCGTTGCTTAACAAGTTTAGATTACTGGAATTTAATGGCAATGATATGAACAAAGATTAAGGAAAAGCAAAAACCCAAAAAGGTTTGTAAATCGTGCCACCGGCGGCCACTTGGTTCGCCTATGCCGTAGCGCCTTCTCGGGCAGTAGGTTCCTCCGAAACTAGGATAACGACCTTTCAGATTTCACAGCGTCATATCCCAGAAGACAGTAATTAACATGAGATCTGTATTTCAGTGACATCTGTAACTTTCATCTGGAACATTTTTATATGGTATATAGTTAATATTGAGGCCAATGACATCTGCAAAATTTAAAATCCAAAGTCATACCAAGGGGTACAAGTATCATAATAATGAGAATGTTTTATTCGTTATACTAGTTACATTTTATGAAACCACAACATTTTGGAATAGAGCCCCGAAGAGAAAGTTACATTGGCAGTCCATCATTAGACTACCAGTAACATTCAGAGAATCAGAAGCATAATATTTTAAAGGTATATGCTCTCCATACATCCAGTTCAACCTAGAAATGCCTTGTTACAGTATCCAGCCTTGGATTCAAATCTGGACTACATATACTTCATAATAGCATTGAATAACCACCCAAATGTAAAAAATCCATTTGGGAGTTATATGTAATTGCTGGTTGCTATCGATACTCACTAGGTAATCACTGTTACTGTAACATGCATATAAGTAACTCCATGGATAGGAGTCCTTGAGAAAATACTCTCTCAGCTAGTAAAGAAAATTTCCTTTTTTTAGGAACCTAAATCCACATTGCTATCCAATCCATAATCTCATAGACCAGTTCTTTAAGATTCAATTTAATATTATCCTCCTATCAATATCTACATCTCCAAAATGGTCTTTTCCCTTCAGTGTTTCAGAATAAAATTTTGTATCCATTTCTCATCTCCTGTGCTTGCTACAACCCCTGCCCAGAATGTACATGATATTTATTTTTATAGCTGTGTGAGTGTTTCTCCAAACTCTTTTCACCACCAATATCTTCTCACCTTCGTGTTGTGGTGAATCAGAGCATGACATATCCAGCAATCACCATCTGCCGTTATCCATCATACAAACCTGATGTTCTCCAGGCAAGTTACTGTTGTCTGATATATTTTGTATTCTGGTCTCTAATTTTGACTTATGCTGAGTCTTTACAAGAGGGAACAAACATTCAGATTTATTTTAGAGGTAGCTTGTCAAAACAAACTTTTTATGGTCTGTACAGATGGCTTTAGGTGCAACAGCTGTAGAAAGCTGATGAAAACTGGGAATTTTGTGATGGCTTTCAAGCATATATTTTGAAATCTTGCAGTTAATTTTATGTAGATATTTTCATTCAACAAATCATGATAGTATGCTGACAATCAGTAGCCACTGATTTCAGGTGTTGGTAGTTATTGTTACAAGTCAGTTGAAGGCTTACCACATATTATGTAAAAGTGCTCAGTAGTATACTCTACATTTGGAAATAGTGACTACAACAGTGGTAATATCCATCTTTAACTGATTTTAATATACATCTGAACATATTTCAGAAATATAACTTGCAAAATGTCCGCACAACAAGTGACTGGGAAGATTTCCCATATGATAAAATAACACTGGAAGAATTCTGGAATGAATCCACATATAGAATGGATGAAGGATACTTTCTTTCTGCCCTCAACGCACTTCGGCAGAGTGAGTATTGCCCTGTCAATGCTGAAGTGAGCTATTGATTAATAACAATAATAAGTAATTCCTTTTTTCAATGTGGGAATTACAGTATACGCCATCGTAGAGAAAACTGCATTTCAAATTAACAGTGGCACTACTTTCAGAACTCTCCATCACTCAAGATAGTTGGCCTCTAGACCAAGAATCAAACTTTGAATTCCAGGATATGAAGCAGGAAGGCAACACTTGCCCTAAGTTTTAAAATAGTGAGATCTGTGGTTCTCATGGTGGTAAATATTAGGATTACAATCTTTTGGGATGTGAGACCATGTTGTCTGGTGTATATGAACCACTGGTTTGTTTGCGTATATGACGTTAAATATGCAGACTTCAGATCCTCTCTTGTCCATGCACGCATTTAGCATATTTGTTTATTTAAAAGACTTCTCATCATTTTCAAAGCATTCTTAAATCCACTGTTGGTTTGCTGGGCCTATCACAGCTTCAGTAGAGCCCTGTTAGCCATCATTTGCTGGGTACTGTTGCACTTTCTCAGCTTCTGTGGCAGTGCTATGCATGCCCCCATAAGGCATTGTCATTCATTCAGCTTCTCTTGGACATTGATTCTGTGGTCTGACGTTTCATCCATCAACCAAAACAGAAATGATGCTGGGAGAAGAAAAGATTTATTTATTAATTTAATTAATGGTTTAAATTCGAATTTATATAGGCCCACATCCAAATAATACCCGGTTTTTGTAGTGTTTTATCCAGAAATATGTTTACAGTTATTCGTTTGCTTTACATTTATCTGATATCCTCCCAGTCTGTCTAATGTGTATTTACTTATTTTCATTTTTAGCCTATTTTCCTTATTTTGAAAGAAATAAAAATAGGCTTATGAGATCACCTTGCTGTCTGTGTCTGTATGCGTTTCCCCCCAATTAACAGAGAAGATCTGTATGACGTGACAGATTCTTCATGGGTTTCCATAAGGTTTTAGTCTCGAGTGTTCAGGTTTTACTCCACAGATGGTGCTAGTGGGAGAGAGTTGTAGCCTCCACAATTTTTTTTTTTTTTCATTTCTCTGCATTTGTGCTCATGCATTTGGCTTTGTTGGCTAGGTTTTGTACCACAAATTTTCACCTCCTTTTCTATCCTAGTTCCATGCATGTGCGCGCTCTATTTATTGCATATTTTCTTGTAATGTCCTGCCAAATCAGCATGGTTTGAGATGATTAAATAGCTCTGTGAATATTACAAGAGATGCCCAGTGATTGTTGAGATTAGCCCTTTCTAAGGGATGCAACTGAGTGGGTGTTCCCCCCCCCCCTTCCCTCACCTGAGGACAGAAACAGGTCCAATTTCTGAAATGTTGTGTTTTCTCGTCTCTAGAATACTGGATGGCAGATAAAGTCCAAAAACCCAGTAATTCTGAGATATATTAAAATGTCTGTAAAATGTAATACTGTGTGTGTGTTTGCATGTGTTTGTGCATGTGCACACTATTATTGGCAGTAGTGTAAGTAAAAAATCAGGGAATGTCTCATCCAGCTCAGCACCTAGTAACTTTCCTAGAAGCATCCTGTACCATGGAATTTGTTGGCATAATATAGAGTCACATGTAAACTGTTTCCCTTACAGGTGTACAAATTAAGAGTACATACTATTTAATATGGGGTCAGTGCCACACAATTTTGCCTCTCATCCAAACTACGTCATCAGGTAAAGGAAGTGGCTATTCTGTGATGCTTTATCAAAAAGAAATATCATACATCCATTCTGAGAATGACCCAGAAGAAGGCTGGCACATTTTTGTACATCCTGCCACTGACCCTTGGACAGGTAAGAAAAACAATAGTATTATTAATACACCCTCTATCTGTCCATAAAACTTTTGTACATGTGATATAACATTCTTTGTACCCAAATAATTAGCATGCCTTATGTAGCTGTTCAGGATGGTGAAAAGAGTTCTTCATCTCAAAAAGAAAATGTTCTGTTAGACATTTTTGACTTTGTACAGAATGCTTTAAGATCTTTTAGAGACTGTATGTTTAGACTGATCACTTACAAAGTGAATTGGCGCAAGTGGTAATACTTCATACTTATATTCAGGAGGGAGGTGCCTGGCTCAGATCTTGGCCAGGGCACCTACTATTCTGACTGAGGTCTTTCATGATTCTCCTCAGCAAATACTTGGGTAGTGTCTACAATTTGACTATGAATATAAATATTTCCATCCACAACCTTGACAATTATTTAGTCACTATCATCCAATCATTCAGTGTTACATAATCCGAGTTACTGAAATATTAAATAAACTAGAAACCAGAAATGTATATATCCCTTAACATTTTCTTTTGATTGTGTCCATAATTAGTGCTGCAAATGTAATATTTTCCATTTTTAACCTTTCACAGTCAAGTACTTACATAGTGTGATGATGCTGACAAGTTTGGTGTTTTCGGAATACTAAAAAGAAACATTCATGCCAATTTTCTTGAATGGATTTTTTGGTATGTCATCACCAGTAGCTGTAAGGCTGGCTTTAGCTTCTGGATTTCAACCACTTTTTGATATTTTCATGCTTTGAATGACTGTAGATGGGGTTCGGATTGGTAAATAGATATAGTGGATCCTTATAGCTTGTAACCACAGATAACTACAACAGTTCATGTAGTTCATGTTAGGCTTCTCAGTCTTCACTAAGCGCTGCCTCGCATTACCTCCTCAGCTTCCAAGTTCAGCGGCTTCTGTCCTCGCTGGCTGGCTGGCTGGCATCTATATCACAACTAAATCAGCATTGCTACACAATGGCTTATTAGGACTTCTTTGCCTCCCATGCCTCCACCAAGGGGGATTGTCTCAGCCTCAGGCTTAGCTTCATTCCGATTCTCCAGATATAACCTCTGCATGGACCCACAGAGAACACTGCTTCCCACAGTTCCTCTATTGTTGCATGCATAAGTGTTGCCATGGTGACATGGCATTTACTATGTCCTTAACCTAGTAACAGATGTATCTTCCGAGTAAACTATTCTAGCTTTCAGCTGACATGCCACAGTATCATGTCTAGGAGATATGCAGGAAATTTTACATGATGTGACAGTTGTACCATACTTGTTGGGAGTGTCTAGCAAAGTCATGCATATTTGCATCATGACCCTGAAAGGTACAATAGGTACTATAAATACAGTCCACAAATTTATAATATTAACATTCTGAAATTAATTCTATTTAATTTACCACTAAGCATTTTCATCCATACTATCCTCTTCAGGTGTAAACCAACTAACTCTAGTGCGACTTGAAGAGCTAAAACCAAAGTATTCCACCAGGCATGAACCTCACAACCTACTTCCTCAAGATCTATTTAATTATTGTTCCATGCACTTAGATCCCTCTCAGCAGAAATACTATGCTCATACTTGTATGCTGTATGGTTTACCTTACCTTTCACCATTGCCTGTAAGGTACCTCAGGGGTAGACAGAGCTGTACTGTTGTCATTTTGTCTTACAAGCTCTTACCTTGTGGATCAAAAGGAAAGGGCCTGTTAGATTTGATTTGATAGAATACATGTTTTTTCCATTTTTGAGTTATATTGAGATACAGAATGAGAAGTAATGGGCAGGGTAGGAAAGCATATTTTTAGAATGGGCAGAATTCAATCCTTAGTTTTTTGGATTTGTAAAGGGGGAGTCTGGGAGTTTGGTAATGGTATTGAGATCCACCTGTGGCAAAGTACCAAATCTGTTATTTTCCACTTTATTCTCTGACTTCCCCACCAAAATTTTCTATTTCTTGTCAACCCCACCCAAGTAACATATAAACTAGTTCAATTTCTGGTAGTATAACCTGAATATTCAACAGCATTAATACCAAAGTCTGCCGCTGAACATGCCCGTTTCATCATAACCTCTTAGAAGTCAGTAGCATAAGAATACTAAGAGATGTGTATCTATCACAAAGTTGCTCAACATGTAATAATGCAGATTTCCCAATTCTTCCTTCTTATGCCATATTTTCATTATGTCAGGTGTAATCTTAGTATTTTAGAAAGGATCAGTGAACAACAACCTTAATAAAGCACTGAATATTCAGTCTATCTTACAAACAGGAAGCAGTTCATTCCTAAAAATCAGCCAATAATTATAATTCATTCTCATCCTTTGTGTGATGGTTCTGTTCTTCAGTGCTGCATATTGTTTGACAATAAATTAAAAGTAATTTCTATTGAAAAATAATATAAAGAATGGTCTTTTGTAAGAGAGCACACAGGAATATACTGGAGAGGATGAGAGCCTGCTTCTGGCAGTGGGAGAAGAACTGCATGTGAGGATTGGTGTACAGGAGTACCATCTTGTGGACAAAGCAGATGATCACTGCAATGCCAGTCTGGATCACAGTCATGAAGAGGGAAGTAAAGTTCTGGTAGCCCAGATTACTGACACCTTCAGAATATGGTATACATTCTGTATGATTAAGGGAAATATTTTTAGGTCTTAAAACATACCATGACTTTGTTCATTGCACAGAGTGAAAGAATGTGGGTGAGACCATGTCTGTCCAGATGTCTGTATATTTCACCTTCAAAACTATTGAAGGAATATCAATGGAATTTAATACTGGAAGTCTGTTCCAAAAGTTCATGGGTAAATTTAATTTGTGCTAGTCCATTATAATAATGCTACTTTACATGATATTTAGATCAAGTATGCCATTTTTCTCAGAAATGATTCAGTATTGAGTATTGAGTATAGAGGGGGTGGGTTTCCCCATGCACTTGGACCAGTTATTGGTCCATTGTGCTTCCCCCTTTTAATTTCTACTGTCTCCATACCCTACCGGTACTGGTGCTCACTATCAGCCCCTTTCTGCCAGCGAGGTTCCAACCTTCTACTGGCAGTGGTATCTAATAGTTAGTCCCTTTGTGTCAGAGAGGTCCCCCCTCCTCTGGCAGTGGTACCTAATACTTCCCCATCTACCGGATGCATTTGAAACTACTTTGGGCAGGAAACTTTTTGCCAGATTTAGCTCAGAGGTCTCCTAGAGACATGAGGTTCTTTTACATGCTGTAAATCTACGACACAGGGCCCACGGCTTAAAGTCCCTCCCGGAGGACTTGTTCCCTGAATTTTTCCGCCCTTAAAAATTCCACGACCTCCACCTGGTTTGAACCCCCGTACCTTGAGTCATGAGGTGGGAACATTACCCCTAGACTACGGAGGCCGCTCATGATTCAGTATACAAAAGAAACTGTGAAATCCCCTTTTTATGTGTCTTTGGGTACCAATAGATTTGAACACTAAATTGAGGAAAATCTTTAAAGGAGAAATTTTAACACTGAGATTATTGACTTAGTATTGCTGAAACTGAATATTATATAAGGAAACCCTTAAATTGAGTAATATTAAATGGAATTTCCACTGTGTATGTCATAAAATATGGACTTTAATTGAAATATTTCTGAAACAATGAATATTTAATGAAATAGAAGGAAAATTCATGTCTTATTAAGCATTGTTATTAACTCTGGAACAATATATTTGTGACTGGTGAGTTTGTGGACTTTATCCGTCTTTTATTCTAAAAGACCGCAACACTTTGGAAAATTAATTTGTTTTCATCATCAGGTGAAATGCGGAGTAACTTTTACTTACTCAGTTGGGTCCATTACAAACAGCTGATCAACATCTCTGGCACTTACATTTTTGCATGTGAAAACAGTTTCTGGCAAACACAGTCAATTTCTGTGGAACTTTGGCAAAGAGGTAAAAGCCAGACACATGTACAATTCGTTCCAGTTCTAGGATTTCTGCTGAACTGCGTGGTTCAGTTATTAAGTGTCATGTATCAGAATTTTTGTAAAAGCATGAGGAGTTTTATGCTTTATGTAACTTCTGATAAACTCAATAGAATACATCCCCCACATGTAGAGTGTAGCTGTCTAATTTTGGCATAAAACGTAATTCCATTCCAGTGTGAGCAGCGATGCAAGATGAGGCAGCTAGTAAAAAAGATAGGCTGTACAGGTCCATGGATACCTGAAGTTGATGTTGACGTTCCTTTGTGTAATGAATATGAAATGTTGAAGAACCTACTGAAAGACTACATTAACAAGTAAGCCATTATTTTCAGATTTTTTTTTTCTAATAAATAAATATATACATCTTCTGCGATGTGATGCCAAGTAGCTGGTAGATAGGCACAAACCTTTTGAAGGAACCTCTAGCCTCCACCTTCTAGGGTCTAAGGACCTGGTTCCCCAGAAATTTTGGCTCCTATCTACCATATTACACCAAAGAAGATTATAATCTTCATATTCAGTGTCATGAAGATTTCAGAGGTGGCACCAAATCAGCGGGTGAATATACATTTTTTTTATGAATATGGTGATGAGCATCATGAATTAGGTACAGGTTTTTTAACAGTGTATTGTAATATTGTACTTAATATTGCATAAAACATATAAGTAAGTATAAAAAGTGGGAATATCTGAAAGATAAAATTAATTAACTTGAAACTTACCATAAGAACAAGACTATTAGAGACCTCTGTAGAGGAATAAATATATTAAGAAGTGTTAGCAACCTAGAAGCAACTTTGTAAAGGATGAGAATGACGATCTTATTGCAGATTCTCACAGCATATTGAATAAGTGAAAGAACTACTTCTCTCAGCTTTTGAATGTACATAGGGTCAGTGATTTTAGGCAGATAGAAATCAATTCATACTCAGCTGGGTCCCCTTAGAAAGAGCTAATATCAATCATTGGACCACTGATTGAGGTCAGCTCTCTCTAAGGGACATAATTGAGTAGGTGTCTTCCTCCCCATCACCTGGGGACAGAAACAGATCTAGTTTCCGAAATGTCACATTTTCTAGTCTTTAGAATACCAGATGATGGAAAAAGTCCCAAAACCCAGTAATTCTGAGTGTTATATACCATCGTCAGAACCCTCTAGGATCTACAAGTAAACATTTGTCTGATAATTTTCCTATCAAATATGGTCTGAAGGAAGAAGATGCCTTATCACCACTATTTTTCAACATTGCTTTGGAATATGCCATTAGGAAGTTCCAGGAAATCCAGGTGGGTCTGAAATTAAATGGGACACAACAGGTGCCTGTTGTATGCTGATGATGTGAATCTGCTGGGAGATAACACACCATGAAGAAAAACACAGAAACTTTAATTGATGCTAGTAAGGAGATTGGTCTAGAAGTAAATGCAGAGAAAACTGAACATATGCTGCTGTCTCATTAACAGAATAAAGGACAGAATCTTGACATAAAGATAGCTAACACATTCTTTTAAAATGTGGCACATTTAAAATATTTGGTAACAGTAACAAATAAATATTTGATTCAGGAGGAAATTAAGAGGAGACTGAACTCGGGTAATGCTTGCTACCATTCAGTCCAGAAGCTTCTGTCTTCTCGTCTGCTGTCTAAAAACGTAAAAATTAGAACATACAAAACTATAATTTTGCCGGTGGTTCTGTATTGGTGTGAAACTTAGTCTCTGACATTAAGGGAGGAAAATAGACTGAGGGTGTTGAGAACAGGGTGCTGAGGAGAATATTTGAACCGAAGAAGATGAAGTGACAGGAGGTTGGAGAAAACTGCATAATGAGGAGCTTCATAACTTACACACTTCGCCAAGTATAATTGGAATGATCCAAGTGATGGAGGATGAGATGGGCAGGACATGTTGGACGAATGATGGCTAAGAAGACTGAATATAGGATATTGGTGGGAAAACCAGAAGGAAAGAGTCCACTAGGAAGACCAAGACATGGGTGGGTGGATAATATTAAACTCGATCTTGGAGAGTTAGGATGGGGTGATATGGACTGGAGTAATGTGGCTCAGAATAGGGACAAGTGGAGTGCTCTTGTGAACATGGTAATGAACCTGCGGGTTGCATAAAATGTTGGGAAATTCTTTAGTAGCTGCACAGTTGGCGGCTTCTCAAAAAGGACTCAGCTCCACAAAGTTAGTTAGTTAGTTAGATTGTATGCTATAGCTTAGGTGATTAGAATTAGGCTTACAGACAGATGCCTAGGCTCAAATACTAGGGCATTTGAGACCTGTGATAGACTAAGTAGCAGTAATACAATTTTCTCCAAGTACTTCTGTTTTCCCTTCCCAGTCATCAGTGATGCTCCCTGTTACACCTGCAATGTGTGACAGGGCTGACTAGCCACCAGAATTACATCTCTAGCCCAGCACTTGGCTAGACTGAGATTAAGAAAAGTTTGTTTTCAGTGTGAATTTTGACAAACTGAAATGACTTTATGTATAAGAATTCTAATGCTTGCTGCTCTGTTATTATGTATGTTAACAGAGTTGATAGTAGTTATGACTAAGAGCAGAATATGGTAGTAGTAAGTGACAGTGTGTGCTTGAGTCAGCATTGATATATCCATCCCTCTTTGCTGAAAAGAGTTCACAGCATGCCTCTGGTTTATGACACTGCTTAACACATATCACTTTTCATAATTTGTATAAATGAAGCTGTCTTTCCATAATTTTTAAGTTGCTGAGGTTAGATATTTTTGAGGTAGTTTGTTTTTATATGAAAAATTAAGCATATGTAGATAGGAGCTGTTTTCCAAACAGATTTTATGCTCTAAATTTAACAGTGACATTGATATCTGAAATAACCTATTGATGTTTCACTGAGAATTATGAAAGATATTACATACATGCATTTATCCTAGTATAATTATATTTGTTAATTTTGAATATCAGTCAGAGTTTAAACTTATTTTGTTATGTTCACAGCCTAACATGTGAGCCACCATGCTGTAACTGCATTCGCCCATGCCACTCACTGCAGTTTGTACCTTACATAGTGAAACGTCAACCCATGGAAACAACAGAGCCAAACCATCGATTCAGTCAACTTTATCTGTTTTATAATTCTCGTATGGTTCAAGTAGCAGAAGAACGCTTGGCTTATGATTGGTCTTTGTTTTTATCAGATCTAGGTGGATCACTCGGTTTCTTGCTAGGTCTCTCAGTACTTGGAATTATTGGAATTGTGGAGCGACTCATTGACTTGCTCTATGGCAGTCTCCAACCTCCAGAAAGGACTATAGACCATATACTTACACCAAGACTGTCAGGCTTCAACAGTAACAAGGATTCAGATGAGAATATGGACTCCATTTGTTGCAGAAGAGAGGAAAAAATTTTCAGTTTACATAATATGCAGACAATGAAATGTAAAAACAAACTTTCTTCACAGCCACATGAAACTAAATATTAGTTGCCTGTAATATATAGAGTAATTAAAAATATCAGAAACAAGACTCCATAAACACATTCACACCAAATGTCATGACAAAGTGGTTGGCATTCCTGCTTTGAGTTTTGGAGATGACAGGTTCAATTATTGGTCTGGAGACTGACTATCCTGGCAGATTTTTATGGTTTTGCTTGGTTTCATGCAAATGCTGGTTTAGTGACTTAGATGATTATATTAGTTCATGTTATTTAAGTCATCCCAAGTGGAGAAATCTGATGAGTAACCGCAAAATAAATAAATCAGCATGCTCCTCCTCTCACTACAAGTCACAAGATTGATGATGCTGCCAAGTACATTTTCAGTAACAAGTTAGGAATTGTATGCACAACTTAATAATTCTGGTGCATTCTGTCCCTTGTTTATTCATGTCAAAGTTCATAAGACTTATGGAAAAAGAGTACTGGGCATAAAATAAGTGTTTCATTTTTTGCTACAACTTTTATTGAAAACATTTCTTCATCCCATACATTTTCAATGAATTATGTTCAAGATGTGTGCAGCATTGAATGTGGATCTTCACTTAAAAGTCTAGTACTGTTTTTTAACAAAAACTGGAATGGTTTGACAGACTTTAGTAAAACTCTGCACTATCAAATTTAATGAAAATCCATGTAGCAGATTTATCATACATGGACAGACAGACATGGAAAAAGCTAACCATCACATTTCTTCAACTTTCCATGGTATATGTCCCAATAAAAATGGAATAATATACTTTTCATAATTTGTTTAGGACAGAAAAGTAAAAAAAATATTCGTTTTGTTAAGTGTTCATCCAGCAATAAATGCTAAGGTTTTATATGTGTATATCTCCTACACAAATATTCCTACAAATAATATTTCCCAAGTAAATTGTTGATTAAGTTGTATTCCTGGAGGAAAAATGTTTTTGTAAAGCAAACTGTAGAACTTTGCGTGTTGTCACTTTATTCGGTTCACTTGGTTGTTTCATGGTTATAAGAATATAACACTCCAAGTCACTCACCACATTTTGCAGGTATTATGTATATCTGGAGCTCTGTCTCTTACAAAATGAAGATTTGTATGACGTGAGCTGTAGAACTGTCACTGAGTCGATTTTTCTAAGTGGCCAGTGCACTTAACTCGGTATCCACCCAATGCAATTTAAGTTACTCTGTTTTCAACTGATCTCTAACTCAACACTCAAGACACATCAAATATGTCTGTTTAAGTCAAATTAATTTGCAACAGCTGAAGTTAATTCCAGAATAACTTCACCAACCCAAACTGTACACATCTTCACCTAAGATATTACAAATAGGCATCACACATTTAACTTATTGTAGACGTTTATAACATAAATAATGAAGATTTTCGACATGTTCAACATGTGACATTTATCAAATTGGATTTATAATTTTGAGATTCGCTTAGTAATTGCTATCACCTCCTGTCATCAGTCACCTGAAACACTTGTGAAACACAGAATTATTAAATAACTCTACCCTATGTGACCAGCAAACTATGGAGTTAGAGAAACAAATGCAGATTTAATAATTAAATTATTTTAATATGTTGGTTGCACAGTGTGGCTAACTGCACAGGGTAATTAGACAAAGGAGCTGGTGATTGGCACAATTGAATGAATTTGTTTGCTTTGCATCTTGCAGTAGAAAACTCAACCAATCATATTTGCTATTGCATGCCAGACCCGTAGCAATTACTCATCCTCTTTATTTGATCCTAAAGATGGAGACAACAGTTATCTCCAAAATGTCATCAGTAATAGCCGCATCTACATAATGGAAAGTTCTGAGAGTAGAATCAACATCAACAGTGATCTGCCCACATGAAAAACCTGAAGAGATTGATTTCATCATCATCAACTGCATTTCTGACCTATTTGAATCTTGCTTTAGACAAATCGAGACTTCCACCGCCTTGGTGGCCAACTTCCCCCCCCCTTCCTTTCTTCCTTCCTTTGTTTAGGATGACAGTCAAACAGCTTCTGAGGAATTCAATTAGTTGGAATTCTTAAAATATGTAATAAATAAAGCTGTTGGTATTCTTTCACTTTACTCCTAGATTCAGTTTATTTAATTAGTGTCTGATATCTATGTTTCTGTTTTTCTGTTCTTATGTAGCCTGACAGTAATCTAAGGAATCTCATTTCAGAAGATTCAATCTGTTAGGGTGCTATCCAACGGGTACTGGATGTTTTTAACAGAGGGTAAAGCGGCCAGGGCATAAAGCTGGACACTCTTGTCCATCTAGCACCAAGGTCAAGAATGGTGAAGCTATAACTTCACTCCCCCACATGTATTTATGGTATCATGCCTAATTAAGTTTAGGGATACTTTTACCATTTTTCCTTTCACTTGTTCTGCTATGGTACTGTTTGTCATTAAATTGGAGTCTATTATTTTCCTTTAAGGGCTAATATGTTCGTTTTAATCATGCAAATGGGCAAATTATATGTTCAGGCAGTTCTAGTAGCTAGTGCAATAGTGTTTAGACAGAGTTACCTGATGTAATTATACTTGCAATTGTTCATTGGTAAAAAGGAGTTATTGGCTTGGAGAAGGTTACTGTCTTGCCATTCTGTTATGATACAGTCTAAATAGTGCTGGTTATAATGGGCACCCTTATCACTCTCCTTGGTTTATTAAAGTTCTTTTCTGGCTTATTCTGCCATCATTCTCAATCACAATATTTTTCTCAAATTAGAGACTCTGGATTTCTCATATGAGTCCTTTCTGTGCAAGTGTCTGCCATAATTTGTTTCTGTTTACTGTACCAAAAGTTGTTATACTTGTATAACCTAGCATGACAATGAATTGATTAATTTTCCACCATACACCAAAGTCTGTGCCCCATGTCAAGTTGTGCACGGATCAGAAACTCATCTTCTTCAGCTGCTGCTGCAAGGGTTGAGAATGTTAGCCCGTTCCATCCCTAGACATTTATCTGACTTCTTGGTCCTGCTTGGAGTACACCTTCCAGTTGGTTGAAAATGTAAAAGTTTCTTGAGAACTCTGATGTCATCTTCTATTGATGTTCCAACTAATTTTTCCTAGTTTTTCCTATTTGTCTAACTTCCTCATTCCTAGTTGTGACCTTATTTGGCCGCTCCCTTCCTTGTCCCATAGAGCAGTGGTTCTCAAATTTTGTCAGACTGCAGCCTGGTAAATTCCTTTTTCTATAAGATGAAGGCCTGGTATAATTGATGCCAGGGCTCGGCACTGGCCCGCGGCCCAGCGGTTGAGAAACACTGCTATAGATTGCCACATACCATAGAAACCTCATTTCTGTTGGTTCCAATTGTCTTTCATCTGTTCTATGAGTCTGTGTTTCACCGTTGTGCATGAGACATGGCAGTGTTTCTGTAGAATTGTAATTGCATGTCTTCCTTGTGTTGTGTTCCAAAGTTCCATATATTGTTCCACACATTTACACATGAATTTTTCAAAATTTGTTATTTATATCTTTATGAATATTTAATATTGATATTTAACATCCCATATATTTAAAATTTGAAAGTTGTTCTTTTATTTCATCATTTTTTACTGTTTTGGACCTCAGTCCATATTTCCCATTCAAGGCCATGGTCTTTTTTTTTTGTAAAAATATTTAGGTGGTATGTCTTTGCTACTTCTTCCAATAAATGAACTCTCTTTTAAATTCCACCATCTGTAACAGATGTTATAACTTGCTCATCTGCAAGTACTGTATCTGATATGATATTCTCAATTTTAAAATTATCTTACATTCTTCTGTACCATTTCAGTATCATTTAGTCAAAATTCAAAGCACAGTCTGAGTAGTGATGCGAGCCTGTTTCCTACAAAAATAATCGATAGAGTTCATTCATCATACATTAATGAACCCCATCCTGTGAGGAATATTAAATAAGAAATGTTCTCTAGCCTTTAAATTTTATGTTAATAGAGAATTTTGTTCTTCAGTAGAAAAGGTAACGACCCTGTGATTAAGTGGTCAATCATTATTATAGCTTCAACATTCTTGACCTTGGCACTAGAGGGAGGTGAGCGGTCAGCTTCGTGCCCCTGCCACTTAACCCCCCCGGGGAAAGGGGCCCTGGTGTCCAATGGATAGGAAGCTGGCTGAGCCACAGAGTTGGTCTAAACGCTGTGGAGAGGAGAAAGCTCTTTTCCTGCCGGGAATCGAACTCTAGCCTACATCCCGTAACCTGTCACTATACTGAGTGAGCCATCCGGGAAGGTTGATGTGCCATGATGATATTGTAAACATGGTACCGAGAAGAAGTTCGTAGAGATTCAGTTTTTACGGACAAAATATATTTCTCCCGTTCAGATTTACAGTCAGTTGATAGAGGTGTGTGATGATGGCTTAATGAGCATGCAACATGTCAGAAATTGTCTACAAATACTGCACACAAGCAAAAAAAGAAAATGCATTTAATATATTTTCACATCTTAAGTTATTTTAATGAGTAGTGATTATGTTTCTAAAATAATGAATGTTTAGATGCACAGTTCTCTCTGGCTGTATAATATTGCAGCAGAGTATAGCAATTCATGATAATCGTTGTATATATCTGATTATAGCCCCCTTGTGGCCAAAAATGTTGTGAATTTACATGCAAGCATGAACTAAGCAGCATTTGACCAATCTGTGAATTTCCACTCAAGACCGCTCAAGACAATATTGTATGTGCGTGCGCATATGTGATAATGTTCAATTTTAATGCCATGGGCCAGACAACATGGAGAAATGATCATGAGTTGCCGGTAAATTTCTACAGGGACGACAGGGAAAGAGGACCGAAGAAGCAGTCACGAAGAATGGTATTCCTTTTCGGGAATGTCTGAAGAGGGGAGAGATGGAATAAGTATTGGTGCCTCCTAGGCCAGCAGGAGTAGTGAACCAGGAAAGTTGTGCAGACGACCTTCGCAAGGGCCATAATTTTTAACAGCAATTCACACAATAATAAGAGTAATATTAATGAAGTATTGAATTCTCCACAATGTGTATTGCTTTTCTTCTGCTTAAGTGAATGATTTAGACCTACATTTGCAGTCTATGTGATATCCCCCACATTCTGAATCACATAGCTTACAGTGGCAATTTTTGTTTGGGGAATGGTAGCCAGTCGTTTGGCTGATCTTGTGGTGAAAACCTTGCAAGACCAAATGCTTAATTAAATATCTAAGTTTATTGTTAGGCTTTGTCCAGTCCCTTTTAATCACAGCTTGTGTGGAGTAGAACTCAAACCATATTTATTTCTCCTTTTTTCGCCTATATATTATTAATTTGTTTGCTGCTTTAATAAATGGCAGAAGCAGCAATTCCTATAAGCCTCACGGATCAGCATTTGTCAGTAACATGGATCACTGTCTGTCTATGGTTCTACAGCCCTCTGTTGGGCCTTGGCCGCTCTTTCAGTTTCTTGATGTGTTACACAACCGGTAGAACACCTTGAACGGGGATCAGCTCGTCTCAATGCCGCTACCTGCACATCGGACAACACAAACAGAATAAAAGCACACAGACAGCCACGCCTCAAGTGGGATTCGAACCCATGACCCCAGCGACAAAAACAGTTTTGACGGCTCGACCACGTAATGACCGTTAATGACTACTTGACATATTTGATATGCAATTATATGTCTCAATAAGTGGGAAATTTATTGACCTTATTGACGTTATTGATGGACAAGCGCGACATTTAATATGAGGGCAATGGAGTTGCTAGAACGAAGAACACATCGTAGTTGTCAGCGCCGTCAGTGTCGGTCAGTGCCGTCAATGCTAATTGGAACTCGTAGTTGACCATTTTATTCATAGAATACGCTGTAATTGTGCCACGTATTTAATGGAGGAGTGAAATGTAAAGTTTTGTAGCATGAATTAAAGTATTAAGATTATTTGTAAGGTACTGAATTAATTTTCAAAATAATGGGAGGAACACACAGTATTGAAATTCCTGGAGGCGGGACAGAAGGTTATCATGTCCTACGGGTAAGTTAATGTGAAATTTTGTTGTGGTTATAAACCGTTCTAATCTTGAATCAGTTACAGTGTTTTTAATAAATTCATTCCGTGCAGGTTCAGGACGGATCACCGGGCCAGAAAGCTGGCCTTGAGGCATTCTTTGATTTTATTGTTGCAATTGGAAATACACGGTTGGTAAGTTATACTTTCATTACACATTGACTATGTCAAAACAAACTTTCTTGTTTTACCACATACGACGTTTTGCAAAGTATTTTATGACAGGTGAAGTATTTAAACATTGCTGTTCATAGCCAGGTGACGTATTCCTGCAGTGTATACTTCCATTATTTAATTTATCTGGTATTTTTATTGATGAAAAAAAATTATTGTTGTACCCTGGTACCCGAATTAATACGTCTTATGTGTGCCCAGTTGTAGTACAACTTCATAATTTCATGTAACTTCATGTAATTTTAGCAGAAAAGATATTCAGCAAGGTACAGTGTGCATAAAAAACATACTATTTGCAAGTGAATCATAGCCAATTTTATGCCTTCTCATAGACATACACAGTATTTTGCTGCACATGCATAAGGATTTACCTTTTACTTAATTTCAAAGTGAGATTTCCATGTATACAGTAACTTTAGCAGCTGTCGCAACATATAAACTTTTCATAGTTTACAGAATTTGGACAATGGAAATAGTACAAAATTCTGTTTTCTAGAGTACTACACGTTGGGCAAGGTCCAAAACCCCAGTAATTCTGTGTGTTATACACCATAATCAGAACCCTTTAGAACCTACAACGCACAGTGTGATACTCTGTTATAACTGAAGTCCAAAATGTTAATCACTGTATGTACTGAGATGCTTAATTTTTTAGATATACATCATCATCAAATTAGGTACCATACTTCTCAGCAGTGTTATGTTCGCAATGATACATACTATGTTGTTAGGTGTACTGAAAACACACAGTGAACAGCAGGACTCATCTGTGATCAAATGGTCAGAGAATGCCATGTGGCACACTGTCATGTACCATGAAATGAACCAAGGCCCCTTTAAACCTCTACTATAACTACTAGATATCATTTGATATCTTGCCCCGTTTGACAGTGGCATGTATCTTGAAAACTAAGTGTCACAGGATGTATGTTGTATGATATTTTCAGCTTGTTTGTAACAAAATAGATCGTGGAACGTCACAGTACAAGGATTATTTAACGTGTATGTAATCTAACTGGCACCATCCATTACTGTTACACACATATGGTCAAGTTTGGTTTGAACTTTCTGAAATCACTTTTAATACTTTCCACTTTTCATCGCTTTTAGTATTTTCTAGTGAAATGCGAGTCATTTCCCACATTATTAAACAAATTCCATTTTACTCCCATGTGCACTACAATCAACAGTTTCTCTTTTGCATACATATTTTTCAGGCCTGAGAGTAATAATTCATACTTTTGCTGTTTCTGTACAAGTAACAGCATTTTTAGGTTCATGAAATAGTTGACAGTAAGGTAGAAATTGTCAGAGATCAGGAAAGCTGCTATTGCTTACCATTGTGTTGCTTGTAATAGGACTGAATAGTATATAGAGCAGGAATGAAATCACAACCCTACAGGCTAGAAAGTCATGCTGTAAAGAAGGCGTTTAAATGTATTTTTGGAATACAAATATGGACTGGTTATATTTTGTAAAATGTCATTTTTTTATAGGATCAAGATAATGACACCCTGAAGGAGCTGTTAAAGACCAACATTGATAAAGAAGTACGCATGACCATCTACAGTAGCAAAACACAGTCTGTACGAGAGGTGACAGTTATACCCAGCACATCTTGGGGTGGTCAAGGACTTTTGGGTGTGAGCATTCGCTTCTGTTCTTTTGAAGGTGCCAATGAGAATGTGTGGCATATACTAGTAAGTAAAAAAATTATGCGATTGTTAAAATGCCATTTTGCACAGTGGAAGTTAATGTGTAAATTAAAGGACTCTTCTTTGGAAATGAGCATGTGGCCCAAAAAGTCTTAATTGCACTGAGTCACCACAAAACCTACAAATCTTTTGTAAGTTAAGGAACTGTAATTATGTTTAATATTATTACTGCCATCTTTGAGGCGATTGTCTAGAAAATGTGGGAGCCTCAACGTCTCACAACCCTATGGGCCTTCACGGCTTGTTACAGGGATAGCTTTACTTTACTTTACTTTATTATTAGAATGCATTGAGGAAGAGAATCAGGAGATAGGGAGCTTCATACTTGTGCAGCATGCTGCTGCAAGTATGTTTTTAAAGGATTGACTTGAAACCTAAGTGTGTCAACTATGTAGTGAAGTCCTGTTTGTCAGTTAGCTGCATGCAAAATGAGTAAAATTGTCACATTTTGGAGACTTGTCTCCATTATCATGGACTAATATCAGACTTTCATTTTAAAATGAAGAGTGTCGCTCTTTATGCCAACTTTAGCACGTAGAGTGTGTTGTGTGGTCAGGGCAATGGATCCCCAAGACCGTTAATCTCGGTTTTCTAGACCGGAGCTGCCATTTCCTTGAAATAGCTGCTCAATTATCTTCATGAGGCTGAGTGGAACCCCAGTTTTGCTGACAAGCGGTGGTTGCTCAGTTGGTGTAGTTCGCTTGCAGGTTACAGGTCACGGAGTTTTTTCTCTTTGTGTTGAAGTTTTGTTGGGTTATCAGGTGCGTCAGTAAAGTTATCCCTGTACTAAATTATGTAATAAAGCATTATACCATGAAGGTATATGGGGGAGTGGAGGTATAGCTTCACCTTGCTTAACCTTGGCCCTACATAATGAATGGTCAGCTTCACACCTGTGCCACATTACCCCTGGGGATAGAGCTTATAATATTCATTGGATAGGAGGTTGGGTGGGCCCCATGATGGGCCTGGACTCTATGAAGAATGGAAAAAATCTTTTGCTTCTGCCAAGAACCAAACCTCTTGTCCATTGCACAGGGGAATCTAATAACAAACTAGCCTTTAATGGAGTTTTGTGTGTGTGATTCAGTCTGAAGGCAGGTTAAAAATAACTTTAAATAAGCACTGTTTTGAAAAACAGTGGGGGGGGGGGAAGAGGGGAGATAGACTGGGGATTGCTCATCCAACCTTTAGCTTAGCTGCTATACCAGATGGGCTCTCCCAGCTCACCATCAGTTGTATCAGTCGGTAATAAGACTGGTATGCCACAGCCTTTCTCCATCTTCCTCAGAAACTTCTCTGAAATGCCAAATATCAGTATGACTGAAATTTTCATCATAATTTGTCACTTTAAGAACTTTTGATTTTATGGTGTTGCATGCATGATTCCGCTTGACTTTCTTTATTGTGAAAAGAGTGAGGTCTGTCCAGCATGAGTGTAATCTGTGATTTGAGGTTCTCGTATTAGTGAATATTAAGGGAGTAGTACTGTCTTGTGGGGTGTGATGCTTTGTAGTAGGGTAGGGTAGGCATGCGTCAGTGTTTCAGAGGAACCTATCTATCAGACTACATGGCACCACATCTTAGAAGAACATAATCTTATACATTTCTTTTATTAGAGTCCATTGCAACACAACAATAAAATGGTCAAGGCTAAAATTAGCTTAGCTACATGTTTCGGCTATTAAAGCCATCATCAGGCAAACACATGATTACCATATACACACCACTGAACTGCAATTGCAGTAGTGAAGCAGTGTGTGTATATGGTAACCATGTGTTTGCCTGAGGGTGGCATTAATAGCGAAAACATGTAGCTAAGCTAATTTAGCCTTGACCATTATATTGTTGTGTTGTGACGGACTCAATAAAAGAATTGTATATAATAACACAACAGGATGCACAAAATGAAAACAGAATCATAATGAATAAAATACTGAGGCACTATGCTACAAGCTGGAAGGTCGCGGGTTCAAGTCCCGATGAGGTCATTGGATTTTTTCAATGGACCTAATCCTTCCAGCCGCACTATGGCCCTGGGGTTCTCAGCCTCTAAAAGAAATGAGTACCAGGAATTAATTAAATAATTTTCCTGGGGAGAAATGCGCGGCCAGCATGTAAGGCTGACAAACTTACCGCCATCTTTGAGCCGATTGTCTAGATAAGGCGGGACCCTCAATGTCTCACAACCCTATGGGCCTTCACGACCTGGTACAGGGATAGGGTTACTTTTTTTTATGATGCAGACACAAAGGAATTTCTTTGCATAGGTGCAAATCCAGTAGTATGTGTAGAGTGCAGTATGGATGGTATTTGACCATATTGTGTATTTATATCATTTCTGAACACTTAACTGACCACTCTTTTTCCAATTGCTTTGTAGGAGGTACATCCATCATCTCCAGCAGAGCTGGCTGGGTTAAGGGCATTTTCAGACTATGTGATTGGTGCTGATTCTGTCCTTCATGAGAGTGAAGATTTATTCACAATGATTGAAGCACATGAGGGCCGTCCACTCAAGCTGTATGTATACAATACTAGTGAGGATTCATGCCGAGAGGTTCTAATAACTCCAAACTCCACTTGGGGTGGAGAGGGCAGGTGAGTATTGTTAACATTAGATCTAAATTAGATATGAAATTGATGTAAATTAAATGTGAGGAGTCAGGATAGCTCACTTGGTATAGTAATGGGCTATGAACTGAAAAGCCTGGGTTCAGATCTCTGGCAGTGCAAGTTTTTCTCTTCCTCACAGCTTCCAGGCTGGCTCTGGGTGCCACCCAGCCTCTATCCAGTGGATACCAGCAGCTCTTTCTCTGGGGGTAAAGTGGACAGGGTGTGAAGCTGAACACACCCCTATCTAGCCCTCAGATCAAGAATGATGGAGCTATACCTCCATTCCCACTTATATTTTCATGACATAATGCTTAGCTAAGTAAGCACAGTGACAGTTTTACTTGTAAATTAAACATGAAGTCTCTCTGTGGTTTAAGAGGCCACTATGATCACCATCAGTGGTATCATTCTCTAATTGATTTCTTATTTAAGGCATATTGATTTACAGTTGCTAACATTTCAATTCCTCGTCGTATTGTTTCCTAGTTGATGGACTGCAGGCCACTGCCATGCAATTTAATTCATTCTGGTTCACAAATTATAGTTGTCACAGTGTTTAAAATGTGTTACTACAACCTGAAAAATTACTATTTTGCAAATGAAGGTTACTTCTTTTTTCTATTATAAACTAATCTGACAGTTTGAGACATTCTTGACCACATAAGTTATCGATAGTTTCTCATGTTTACCTCGTTAATGTGATTTCATATTATTCAAAATAAAGTGAATATCAAAGTTGCTGTAGTTCCCCATGCAGCATTATAGGACTTCATATATGTTGTAATATGTTGCAGTTTGGGTTGTGGTATTGGATATGGTTACCTTCATAGAATCCCAATTCGTGGTTCTCCTATGTTGCCTGCATCTCGCAAACCATCACGACCTGTGTCAGTACCATCATCATCTTCATCACAGGCACCAGTTCAGCAAGCAGCTGTTGCACCCGCACTGCCTACTCAGGAGGGACATTTAATAGCTGAAGTACCTCAACATCCAGTCATAGCTGCACAAGAAATGGTACTGTTTTGTTATATTATTTTGTATATTCATATGTTTCCCCTTGAAGAAGTGTTGAGAATAGGCAGGATAACAGCATGGAAGTGAGTAGAGAAGTGGACATTTTCACAATGGTGAATATCCAGATTGAGGCTCTCTCATACCTCACTGTTGACTATTCTCAATGGCCACTATAGGGCTCTCTCTGCTTCCAAGGATTCTGATAGCCCTTTGTTGTTATATGTCACTCTTCTGTATGACTTGGTCTGTCCCCACTCACTTTGACCCTGGAAATGGAGACAGCCTTTCCCGTGAAATTTTGGTATCCACCTATAAAACTACACGGTGTCACATTCCAGAAGACCTCTGAGTGGAAATGAATGTTTGGAAGTCCAAGTCCAAGTCACATTGTGACTGACGGTCAGTCAGTCAGTAAGTCTTGGTGTCGAGCCCCATGTGGGGCTCATGACCAGATATTTATTACTGTTTGGCATTTACGGTCTTGTTTTTATGGGTCGCCCTCTCTGACGAGAGGACGGGTCTGCCTTTTGTATATGCTGCTGGTCCTTGCCAGTGCAGTCTTTCTTGGGTCTGAGTCCCTTGGGACTCGAGATCATATATTACTGTCTCAGATTTGAGACTTCCCTTTTCGTCACCTCCTACAACTCGCAGGGTCATGGTCGGGGTATTCGACCCCGCCTCCACACGGGGATCTCTCTTCTGTCAAAGTCAAAGAAATGTTTGAAAATGTTAATCTTATCCCTTTATTCTCATAAGTCTGACCAATATATTTTGTATGACCATTGTTGTCTCTTACTTCAGTATCATAGCAATTCCATTATTGTAGCATCCAGAATATTCCATTACCTAGACACAGCCTTTCCAGTACTCATTCACTTCATTTTTATTGTGCGCTGAACACACGATGTGCCACATTTAAGGGGAAATAAGGTTCTTTTCTTTTGTTGTACTGTGTGATGACAGTGGTGATGAAAACATCTATCATTTTATTGTTTACTGTTGGGTTTATTGGTATGCAACAAAGCTTCCAGTAGAATTAAAACAGGAACTTTGAATCTTATAACTGAATGTTCTTTGGGTTATACATTTGCAGTGAATTTTGTATCTAAAGATTCTTCATTGAAGTTGTAAGTAACAGAAAATTAAACTGAAAATCTTGTTCACCTCTTGATTACATAGAAGTTTTGGATTATTTAGTTTCCCCATATTTCAGGTTCGTGGGAATCCTGTGTCCAGTGTTGACACTTTGCCACATTCAGGTGTGGCAGCACCATTTCCCAATTTAGCAGGTGCAACATCTCCGTTTCCTACACCGGGAAATGCTCCAGCACCACACCCAGCACTTGCAGGTGGATCTGTCACTGTAACTGGTACCAGCCACTTGTTTCCATTGCCTCCACGCAGTGGTATTGAGACCATGGCTACAGCAAGTGGCGTGGTGCCTTCTGTTGTTAGAACAGCTACCACACTTGCAACAAGTATGTGGATTATAGACGTCATTTACTCATACTGTATAATTTATAACAGTGAATTTTAATGTTAAGCATTCTTTACATACAGCATGGAATTGAATGCCTTAATGAGGTGATAAAGTGTATTTCTGCCCTCTTCTATCCATGTATGTAAGTCCCTTGATCCAAACCACCTCCAAAATCGCAGCTGATGTTTGTGTATGGGACAGTCCTCCATGTAAAATGGCATTTTCTAAAGATGGTCCATGCATCACTATCAAGGATTTGTTTTGTATTGTTTGTAGGGTCACAGTTCTTTCAGAAATTTTGGGTCTGAAGTTTAAGAGATGTAATAGCCCTTTGAAGTGATCAATCATTGTACAATTGCCACTACACTGAAACTAAAATAACAAATAGTTGTGTAATTTCCTTGTTTATGCACAAATTGCAGCAGTTCATAACTATTGATAACTATGCACTGAGTCCTTGAGAAACTAATAATTGCTCAGCTAGTCAAGTTCTCAGCATTTTATGGAACCTGAAGCTTCATTGCCATATTAACAACAACCTCTCGGTTGTGCCTTTTGTAAACCAGATGAATGTAGTCCACACTGCCATTCTGTTTCTTTAATATTTTCCTGTTATGTCTAGGTATTCCTAGTGGCCTCTTTCCATCAGGTTCTCCTACCAAAACTTTGTATGCAGTTTCTTTCTCTCATGAATGCTAAATGCCATGTTCATTTCATCCTCCTTGATTTGATGATACTAATAATACCTAGAAACGAAAAGAAGCTATAGTTCCCAATTATGCAGTTTTCACCTGCCTCCTGTTCCTTCCATTCATTTTATGCCTAAATATTTTCATCAGCACATTGTCCTCAAGACACACTCAATTTGTATTCTTCCCTTAATGTGAAAAACCAAGCTTCACACCAATACAAAAGTACAGGCAAAATTATAATTTCATGTATTTTAATCATCCACTTGCTTCCATTATACAGGGTGTCCCAGGAGGAATGGTCAAAACTTCGGGAGGGTGTTCCTTATGTTAAAGTATGCCGATATAACCCAAAACACCTATGTCCAAAGTTGAACGGTTACGGAGATAATAGCCAGAGAAGTGTGAAACTTTGACCCGTGTTACACACTTGTTGATTACAAAATACATATTAAAACTGGCAGGCATATGTGGTTTCTGTAATGTTAATAATGTACGTAACATCAAACTAACTTGTGAGTGACATGAAGCCATAAAATTGAAGTACAAAATACTCGCTCGCCATGTCATAATTGTCCTTAGGGTTTC